CCTCAACACACCTGACTGGAAGTTTCTATGCCTAGTAAGAGCTTGATTAGCTGGTTCAGGTGTGTTTAATTAGGGTTGGAGCTAAACTCTTCAGGACACCGGCCCTCCAGGACCGAGTTTGGACAGCCCTGATTTAAATCGTCAAAATATTTCATTGTTTTTTTTTACTGATTTCTGATCAAATAAATGCAGCCTTGGTGAGTATAAGATACTTATTTTAAAAAGCATTTAAAAATCTCACTGACCAAACTTTTTAACGGAATAGTGTATATATTTATTTGATCTCAAACCAAATGTCCTTTAACACACATTTCTCTGTTCTCTGTTTAGTAATGACAAGCGGTTCTTCTTAAAGACACAGAGTAAAAGAGAAGTGCGATTTCTCTTGTCTAACCTGAGAATCTACATGGAACATCTGGAGAAGTACCCACACTCCCTGCTTGTCAAATTTTTAGGTGAGAATAAAGGAAGCTATTAAATTAACATTACTTTTTCAACAAATGTTACTGGACAAACATTTTCTTATCCACCAATTTTAATGCATTATAAATTTGAAGGTGTAACTTTCTTTTACACTAGAAACCTTAAAACCCTGAATGCTTATCTTTATTGCATCCATTTAAGCAATTGTCATGCTTGATTCATGGACAGGTGTTCACAGGATCAAAATAGCACATCAGAGAATGGTAATTATTTCACTTTACATCTTCAATTTCCTGTTAAAATTATTATTTTATGAACCCTGAGGGTGCATGTTGTTTTCTGTGTGCAGAAGTACTTTATTGTGATGCAAAGTGTCTTTTACCCTGATGACAGAATCACAGCGAGGTAAGACTTACTGCATGTTATAAATGGAAATGGTGAAGTGTTAACGATTCGTCCATTATCAATCATATAAATATTTAATGTTGCTAATCTCTCCATCACTTCTGTGAATGTACACCACAGAAGATGTCATCTTGGCTTACTAAAATCCACAGCCTTGCAATTATTGGTCATTAAATTGCTTTGCCTTTTAGCTGTTACTTTTGGCTTGCACTAATGGTAAGAAGAATGATCCAATCCATCACTACCACCTCCTTCTCCATTACACTTCCTTCCTAGTTTTACATTCACCCTTTTCTCTCAATGTTTAAGGTATGATATAAAGGGCTGTGAGGTGAGCCGGTGGACAGCCCCAGCCCCTGAAGGCAGCCAGATCATTGTTGTTTTGAAGGATCTTAATTTTGAAGGACAGTTCATTCAGTTAGGTAAGCTCAGTTCCTTTTATGATATTTAGACTTCATCTGCAACACTACATTCAATCCTTTGGTTCCTTGTTTATGTGACAGATCAGCAATGCCCTTGGCTCCTGCGTCAGGTGGAGATTGATACTGCCTTTCTTCAGACGCTCAATGTGTTGGACTACAGCCTCCTGCTTGCCCATCAGCCCCTGCACCAGGATGAACTCAGCCAGAGTCTCTCTTTCGCAACACTCATCATGCGTGCCAAAAAGTGAGCATCATTTTAGTCTATCATGCATATAGTCATCTACAAACAACCATAGACATTTACAAAGATGTTTTAATGAAGCTCTGCTTGTGTACTTTGTTTAAAGATGTCTGGCATTCATAATTGTATAAAAACTCTATTCTTGACACAGTCAGATGGCACACAGATACTTTTGGCTGGTCATCGCTATCTCACACAGTCATTTGAATGAACTGCTCATGCTTGACTGCTGAGGTGCACGCAGAATATAGTGATTGACTTTATATGATTACATGCAGAATACTGATGTTTGCTCTTGTTTTAATTGCTCTCATAGTTCAGAGACAATATTTTCTTCAAAACATTTCGGTTACACTTTATTTTAAGGTCCAATTATCGCTATTAACAAACCATTAACTACGACTTTTCCCTCAATAAACTCCTAATTAGCTGCTTATTAATAGTTAGTAAGGTAGTTGTTAGGTTTAAGTATTGGGTAGCATATTCTGCATGTAGAATATGGTCATGCAGAATATGTGCTTTTTAAGTAGCCTACTAAGAAACAGCCAATGCTTAATAAGCAACTAGTTAATAGTGAGAATTGGTCCCTATACTAAAGTGTTACGGATGTTTCTTTCTGCTGCCTCCTCTCTCTAGTTTAGTTCAGTATTTAAGGATGACAGGCTTTGCCCTGACTGTGAATGTTCATGTTCACTTCTGTTTCCAGATCCTTCTCTTTCTTCTCCAAACGGCCATTGGCAGGCAGGCATGTAGCTATCATATCTAGCTTCAATGTCATTTTCAAAGTAATGTCTCAAAGAAATAACAAAAACTAAATTACTAAACTATAATAATAACCATGCGTGTACTTGCTACTACCATTCCATTAGCCATTGAACATCATCTCATATACTGCATTTATCCATCATTTAAACTAATGGTTTACCCAAAAAATTGATGGAAGTCTTTTTTTTATTTACTTATTCTCATGTCTTTTGAAACCCCTATGACTTTGTCTTTTCCATAGAACACATAAGGACATTTAGCAGAATGTCCAAGCTGATCTTTTCCATACAATGAAAGTCAATAGTGTTCTGTTCCTCACACAAAGTGAACATATGACTTAAGTATGGGCTACTTTTAAGGTGCTTTTTTTTTTTAGAGACTGATCATCTTTGGTCCCCATTCATTTTCATTGTGTGGAGAAGAGCAGCATGAACATTCTGCAAAACATCTCTTTTTGTGTTCCACACAAAAAAGAATGACATATGGGTTTGGAAGGACATGAGGGTGAGTAAATGATGTAAGATTTTAAATTTTTGGGTGAACTATACCTTTAACAGCATGGAATGTTCAGGTGTAATAATCTTCTGCAGAGAAACAGAGCTTCAACCCAGAAACACGCAACAGCCACACACTTTCATTGAACGGCAATCATTCAGTAAGTTAATGTTCTTTGCTCTGTTCTGTGTTCCTCTCTGACTGGCTGTTAGGTCAGTAAATGCAACATCCAGTCCTACACCAACTGTTCCCGGGGTGGTGGCAGAGGAAGACTCCACACTCCTCTCCTCAGAATTAAATACAACACAATGCCACGTAACAGAAATACACAGTGGCAATGGTGCAACCGACATTGCAAGTCCTGAGGAAGACAAAATTGAGCAACAAAGTAGGGTGGGAACAGAGTCAGCCAATCTACAAACGTTCCAGTCACAGAACCGGAGATTGCTTCCTAACTTCAAAAACCCGCTTCATGTCATTGATGGACCAGAGCAGCGTTACTTCATTGGGATAATTGACATCTTCACTGTTTATGGTTTCAAAAAGAGGCTTGAGCATCTGTGGAAAAGCCTGAGACACCCACGACAAACATTCTCCACAGTCAGTCCTCCAGCTTACTGTCACAGGCTGTGCCAGTGGGTTCAGGACCATACCAAATAAAATTAGAGGTCTCTTAGATGACAGATGGACCCACTGTTCGCACACCTGACTCATACATACCTCATTATGTAAACACAGTGGAATGGATCTGAATGTTCATTTGAGGGTGAACGTTTTTATAGCTTTTTGTTTAAAGGGGTCATAGGATGCTACATGCACTTTTACAAGTTGTTTGAACTGAAATGTGTGTTGGCAGTGTGTGTACACAACCACCCTATAATGATAAAAATCCACCCAGTGTTTTTTTATTATCTGGTTAAATGTTTTCCCCTTTCTCAAATCGAGCCGATCTCAGATGCCTGTCTGTGTGACGTCACACAGACAGGCCCCTCCCACAATAGTTTGATTGACAGTCACGATGACTAGGCAGCTCGAAAGAGAGGGGCGAGGTCAGCAGAGCTCATTAACATTTAAAGGAAAATGCTACAAAAACGGCTTGATCTGAAAAGAGCTGTTTTTGACAGGGTAAAAAAAGGTGTTTTTTACACTACCATTGAGAAATTTTAACCAAACTATGTTACAGACTTTTCATTAAGACCCTAAAGAATCATATAAACTTGTGGAAAATGGGCATCCTATGACCCCTTTAAATAAAGACGATGCTAATGCAAGTACTTGTTAAAACACTGTAGTTCATGAAAAATGCAAAAGTTAAAAATGTTATTCATTTAAAATTGTTATGTAAGTAACAGCGCAATGACGGTGCATAAGGATGAAACCTATTATGAAAACATGAATAAGAGCAAAGTAAAGTGTAACTTTTGGTTTAAGCATGTTTTCATAATTGAATTATGTAATACAGGTTATATATATCCCATTTATTGAAAAGTACATTGTTACCATTTGATTGCCAGCTGTCCAGACAGAAAGGCTTTTGAGACTTACAACTTATCAACAAAAGCAGGGTCACTTCCTTCCTGCTGTCTGTCACGTTCAGAAACTGTTATGTGGAACTACACAAGTGGGCATTCAAATGCTTTCAGAAATATTTATGCAGTATAATAAAAAACGAATGTTTGATATTTGCATCTGTTCTTCTTTAATGATTTAGATAAATTATGTTAAGGCCTCAAGCCGCTTTTGTAGTGTGCTATTTGTAATTTACCAATTTATATAGCTGGAGCTAGAATTTTTGAGCACATTCTATTCAAATTAAAAATGTGCTTAAAATACATATTAAAATAATGGAGGGAAGCAAGGAAAATGAAATTGTGAATCATGTGAGGGGGCATTTTTCAAGTATCTTATGATGCTGTAATGTTTCTTTTATGGAAAGCCATAAAATGAGCAGTTTAAACCTATAGGTTGCAGTGTTAGTAGGGAAAATACAAATCTATGCAGTGTTAGTATAGGGAAAATACAAATCTATATCTATCTATCTGTCTATCTGTCTGTCTGTCTATCTATTTATAATTAATTGAATATTAATGGAATGATACAGTTTACTTGTACAGACCACAGAGGATACTTTTTAAAATTATTTTTCATTAGAAGTATTGTATTTTTAAAAAAAATGAAAATGGTTAGGATACCCAAACCAATGCGTTCACAGTAGGGGGGTTAAAATCATGAGCATCCAGCTAGGCTGAGTAGAGGATGGCCGATGTAACTGATGGTAACTCCAGGTTGCGCTGTCGATTCCGCCTCGTCCTGCACAATCGATCCCGTTGCAGGGACAACCAACAAGCTGATGTTGCCGAAACGCACACAGTGAAAACACTGACACGATGGATTTCAATGTCAAGAAACTAGCGTCGGATGCAGGTGTCTTCTTCACTCGTGCTGTTCAGGTATGAAATGACCCAGTGCTTTCTGCTTATTTCACGGTAGTTGCGTTGAGCCATAAGTGCCGTGCGTGAATTGAGGGGGATGGATGTGCGCAGCAGCAGCAGCAGCAGCGGGCTCTAGTCATGAATGAATGAACTGCTTCGCTCTGTTGGCCTTATAGATCCTCACGCGAACACTCAGAAACCTCGCTTTCTGTAAACCTTAATGCTTCTGTCATTGTTCAAGCGAGCAATCTTTGTTTGTCATGTTGCGATGATCTGTATTTTCCTCGCCATTGTAAGCCGATAGACGCAAGTCAAGCCCGTATCCATTATTAATGGCTGTTCATGTGACAGCACTCGCCAACAGACGAAGCCCTGTTTACTATTACTGTTTACTTTTTTTTTTTTTTTAAATGCTTGTTTAGGGATGCTCATGTTACCGTTTGTCAAAAAATGCTCAGTCTATCGAAATGTAACCGAGTGTAAAAATATACTCAGTTATATTACTGTATAACAAAGACGTAAGACAGTAAACAGGTTGATAATCATTGACCAAAGTTTATAGGGACCTCAACATGAAAATACTGTCGTCGTATTCACCCTCATGGTATTTTGAACCTGCATGATTTTTTTCCCCCGTGGAACACAAAAGATGCTCTGTTACTGTTTTTTTCTCCCACAGAATGAAAGTGAATGGCAATTGTTCAATTAGACAGTTAAAAAATGATTGAATAATGACTTAAATGTTAGTCTGTACATCACACAAAGCTGTTTTATTGTTATTTTTGGTGCTTGGCAGGTCTTGGTCACCATTCCCTTTCATTTTATTGAAAAAAAGCAGCACAACATCACTGTGAAGAAAATAATGTCGGTTTTGGGAACAGCATGAGAGGAAGCGTTTTCATTTTAATAGACCTTCTTGTATGCAGAATACTGAAAGATGTCTGGCCAGCTGGTGTGTATGTGTGATGGTGAATGTCCATCTGTTTCCATGTGGGTGGTTTTCATTTAAGCATAAAAAGTTTCTTTTTTATTAATTACAATATTTGTAGTTTATTATCTAAGATTATCCTTGAAACTGTAAGTTGTGACAGATTAAATTTTCTATAAAATGTAAAAAAGGAAGATTATTTCTTAATAATCAATAATTGACAAACATTTTCTATTATTAAAAAAATTATAAAAATGCAACAATTTAATTCCGTTGATAATTAATTGTTAACAAAATCCATGTGATGATCCAAAGACACTGCATGTAGTTAGAAGTAATACAACTGCTAAACTAATACAACTTAGGGGTGACAATCTAATGTGAAAATTCTTGTAAAGTAAAACATAAGGTTTGGCATTTAAAAATTCAAAAATAACATTTGTTCAGAATAAATAAGTGGCACTGAAATACTGATTTTTGTGTAGTTATTTTTTTCTTCTTCAATGCATTCTATATAATCAGTACGTATGCTACAGTATTTACACAGTGTGACATTTATTATATTGTCAAAGCATTATGTGTCTTATTCATAGACGTGCCACATCCCCGGATATCACAAGATAGTGTGCAAACCCTTCTGTCATACCTCATCTGTTATGACTGCACATATTCTCGCTTCATGGATGACAGACATTCAAAACTGCAGATGTAGAGGGAATCCTTTATGCTGAATGTGATTTATGTTTTTTTTTTTTTCCCTCTTTCACCTCAGGCCTGAATTTTATGCGCTGTCAGCAGGGGTCTTCCCTGTGTGTGTGTGAAATATTAAACACCAGCCCTATATTTTTTCACCTTGTCAGAGGAAATCTTTGCTGCAGGTCCACCGGCCTGCCAGAAGCCTCCTGTTTATCAATGAGAGTCACAGGGCATTTGTTCAGCTGTTAGCTACTGATCTTTAGCAATGGCTGACATTTTAGCCTGCATATTTGGATATCAAGTGAATTTGAACTGCAAAGGCACAAACAGGCCGGTGCCATTCACCTGTCTGATCCTCTTCCATTTAATTAGAGTTTCATGAACTAAGCTTGTTTATTGTTATGTCTCCCCTGAGAAGACGCAACAAGATCGTTTGCCTTCTGTAGTCTGATTAACCAGGGAGCAGATGAAGGGGGTGTCCCCTATCAGCCAATCACCTTTGCTGACACAGATAAGCGTCCCCACTCAGCCAATCACTACTACTGTACCTGTCAGGGATTTCGTTGGGAGCAGATCATTATCACTCAAAGCCACAGTTCTGTCATGCAGTTACTGCAGTCAGAGGCAGTGCACATGAGCTGTTTTTTAGGTTTCTTTAATGAATAGAAAGTACAGAAGAATTTGTTATAACACCTTATACAGTCACATTTGATCCATTTAATGAAGAATAAATATCCATGCTGAATAAAAGTATGATTTCCTCCCGAAAAAGTTCTTACTTTGAACAGTAGTGTCTAATTATTATTATTATTTTTAAAGCACCATATTTAATAGTGGTGTAACAACTTGATTTGTATTTTATTATATTGCCTTTTATTACATTATCATATTTTACATAGGTTTTATAATTAATAATGTACTGAATTGTTTAACAAACAATGGTTTAAAATTAAATATAAACATCTAGCCTATAATGTAATGGTTTTAGGTTAAACATAGCATGTCTCACTGCAGGACACATGTCAGATATAACTATATGCATGCTTTTAATCAGCTTTTTGGATTAAAACCTGCCATGTCCTTTCATTGTCTTTTGTCAGAAAATGACTTGATGTTTTTGTTGCACTCAAACTTAATGTGCCTGGTTTATAGCATTATATGCTGCTTGATGTGAACTGTGAAACATTGTCTAAACATAAATATAGCCAAAAGGGGAATGGCATAATGCCAGCAAATCCTGTGAATAGCTTTAAGAGTATGTCTCCTTGTCTTGCTGAGAATTGTTTAGCATTCTGAGACAATACGTTATGGGAAATTATTAGGGCTGGGTAAAAAATATCGATATCTCGATATTAATCGATTCTCATTTTTACGGAACGATATAGATTCTTTAATCCCAAGAATCGATTATTCTAGCCTGTTTTCAGTTAATGGACGGAACGTTGAAGAGCACTTCCCATCCAATAAATCGCAATAAGAATTGTGCTTTGGTACTTTTAATATGAAACAAAGTCGCAGATTTCAAATTCTGTCCATTGTATTGCAATATTCAAACAATAAATGCCGTTTTGTCGCTGTTTAATGTGGAGTGACGGATCGCTAGTGTTGCCAGACGTACGATAATTATCGTATTTTTACGGTAATTTAGACCTCTGTACGATGTACGATCAATAATTTAAAAAAATCCCATAATGTACGATAATTTCAGAATTTTGTGAAACTTCAAATGGTGGTCGTTGTAATCATAGGGCTTCTTCTATACTAATTCATCTAGCTGTGGATCCTACGTCTACCGTGCCCTGCTTTTAAACGAGCACTTTGTTGCGGTGACGCGGTCCATGAGTAGAAATATTATTATGTAATTGTAACTTTATTATTTTAAAAACTTCATTAAGTGTAATTTTAACAAATCAGTCAATTTTAACCTTCAATGTTATAGTAATGTAGTACCAACTGACTCTCATGTATATTTTACAGCATTGGTTGAGAGATTTTTTTTTTCTTTGAAAATTAGGCATGTACTGTACCTGATATATATCCAAAATAATCGATATTGAATAGAATTGGTAATCGAATCGAATCGAATCGCAAGCTTGTGAATGAGAATCGAATCGAATCATGAAATTTGTGTCAAAACCCAGCCCTAGAAATTATGCATGCATATTCTTGTTTCTCAGAAAGAACAGCTAATATTGCCTACGTTGTTGTACATCTGGTTTGGAGTGCTGCTCTTACAGACAGACTGAATTGTTTTGTATGTTCTCCAGTACACAGAGGAGAAGCTTGGCCAGGCAGAAAAGACTGAACTTGATGCCCATCTGGAGAACCTGATTGCTCGAGCGGACTGCACCAAAAACTGGACTGAAAAGATCTTCAGACAGACCGAGGTGCTGCTTCAACCCAACCCAAGTAAGAATCTACATGGGCGTTATACGTTTTAAATCTTTCTACGTTTTGCATCTACCTAAGCCTCTGAATTACATTTTCTTCAGGAAAATATTCTGTTATTAGATATTGTTTGAAATGTGTGGTCTTGTCTCTTAAATGTTGAAAAATGTCTCATGTTGTTGACATTTACCATTAACATGACGAACAGGAACATCTCTGTTGATATCAATCTGCTTTAATGTCACCATTTGCTTGATTACACCACTCTGCATCTGCGTGAAAGATTCCAGAAATGAAAGATTCCTGTAGGGGCAGCCAGGGAAATATGATGCCTAACAACCATCTTAAAACAGCAGTGGTACTCCGGTGTCACTTTGTCAGGTGTCACATTATGTGAATGTACTGTATTGTCTTTGCACCCTTGATTTTTATTTTCTCTCTTCTTCTTGATGTACAGCAAACTGGCGTAACAGTTGAAATCTGAGCTGTTAATCATTACTGTGCTCTTGAGCAGGACACTGTACTGTAAGGCACTTTGGATAAAAATGTCTGATTACAAACTTTTGCTTAATTACACTACTGTTCAAATGTTTTATATTAATTATATTAGAATGATTTCTGAAGGATCATGTGACACTGAAGACTGGAGTAATGACTGCTGAATATTCCACTTTGCCACCACAGGAAAAAGGGAAAGTTATTTTAAATTGTAATGATATTTTACAATATCACAGATTTATTGTATTTTAATCAAGTAAACGCAGCCTTTGTGAGCATAAGAGACTTCTTTCAAAACATTAAAAAATCTGGCTGACTCCAAATGTTTGAATGGTAATGTATATCGCATTTCGTAAAATTAGCATTTTATGTTGGCAGTTCACAAATGAATAAACAACATGAAACATTTTATATTAATACTCGTTCGGTTATCATTTCTGAATCATTGATGAGGCCACAGGTTTCAGATGTTTTAAAGTACCCCTATTATGGGTTATGAAAGGTTCATATTTTGGTTTTAGGGGGTCCCCAACAACAGGTTGACATGCATGCAGGTAAAAAAACACTTTCATTGTCTTATAATATGCATTTATTTTTTACCTTATTTGCTCAACGACTCCCAAACGATTCGTTTAACGATTCATTTTTCCAAACCCCTCCGTCGGCGGTGATTGGTCCAATTGGTCTCATTTTCATTTCATCATGCCTGTAATGCCTGATAAAGCAGCGTTTGTGAGCGCAGTGCTGCTTTGTGTACAGCGTTACCGGGGAAACCGCTATTTTTACCGCTCCAAAAGCAGCACCTAGTGGCAAAGAATGAATTTCCATTTTCATTCAGACCAACTCGAAAAGACCAACAAGGCAGATTTAAAACTTGGCAGGATGTTTTCATTCACTTAGAGCTGTGTTACACACTGCATGAAACCCATCCATAATAGGGGCACTTTAAAGCTCATCTTTGATGGCAGTAACTTTCATGTACATATTTAAGCGTTTAATAAGCATATTTAAGTGTTAGTACTAATAAGAACACTAACCTGTTCTTTCTAACTCTCTCCATGCTCCAGTTGACCAAACTGGTAAGTGTGTCTCTACTCCCCGTGGCCTGTGCTTTAGGTCTTCAGTTTAATTCCTTCCTCAAATGACAGATGTTTAGTATTAGACCCAATGTGTGAGGCTGGCTCTTCTCACTATGTTTTTTTTTTCATGGTAGTACTATCCTTTTGCGGCTGAGTTTGGGTGAATGTCTTGTGGTTTATCCAGACACAATTTTAAACACCTGTTTTTCAATCATCTGAATATCTTAACCAGATCTGGTTTTCAAATCTGTGAGGTCTCTTCAAATCCTGCTGGCAACACAGAGAGCTGGAATGATTGGTCAAAGACTGTTGTTATCACATTTTTTATTACATCCACACATGGGTTTTATGTTTTCATCCGTGATGTCTACATCAAAGACCTGTGTTTCGTTCATCTTTTTTTGCTTTATGGTCTCTCGAAACAATGTTCAAAATACTACAATGAAAGTATCCCGAAAATTTGTAAATGGTTGGTGAAATATTTTTAAACTTTTATGATTAGATATTGAGAAGCAAGGAAGGTAACATGCATTTTAAGCTATAAATCTGAATTATATTCATACATAAAGAAATGTAAACCAATATGTATACCAGTGTGATATTGTAAATAATTATATATAATATCAATTTTATTACCCTCAATTTGCTGACTGTGAACTATTGGTTTGGATTGGTAAGCATGATGGTGCAAAATGGTTTACTTGATTAAGTTTACTGGAGTAAACCCTAAATAAAGTCTGATGTAATTCTTTATTTAGGTGCGCGTATTGAAGAGTTTTTTTATGAGAAATTGGACAGAAAGATCCCATCTAGAACCACCAATGCAGAGCTGCTGGGGCAGTATATGCAGGACGCTGCAAAGGAATTTGGGCCAGGAACTCCGTATGGTTCGTATGTTGTTTTTTTGGATTGTTTTAAATCAAAAAACACACAGAAAAGCCAAAAGTTATTTTGTTAAAGGGTTAGTTCACCCAAAAATGAAAATTAGCCCAAAAAATTACTCACCCTCAAGTCAATCCTAGGTGTATATGACTTTCTTCTTTCAGACGAATCCAGTCGGAGATATATTAAAAATTGTCTTTGATCTTTCAAGCTGTTTCATGGCACTCCGCGGGTGTTGCATGCATCCGTCTAGGGCTGCACGATTAATCGAATGCGATTGTCATGTGCATTTTGTTAAAAAAGCCTGTTCTGTAATCAGCAGGAAATCATCATCACGTGCTTTCAGATGGAGCAGAATTTACTACACATAGCTGTAGTTCACTGACAAGTTACGCAAAAAAAATCGCAGACGATTTTATTGCGCGATTCTGAAATCGAAGAAATCGTTCGCGATAATGACAGCTGTTTGCATAGCTTCTCAGTGAACTACGGCTCTGTGAAGTAAATGCTGCTCCATCTGAAAGCATGTGAAAATACCACATTTAATAACATATTTTTACTCCAAACTCACTTCATAATGTCAGTCGAGTGTTTGAAATAAATCCTTCTGTGAGATGATGTGGCTTCTTACACAGAATAAGGCACGCAACATATTTCATAGTATTTAAGCAGTGATAAAGGCATTGCATTATAAATATACTTTATTTTAATGAAAATTATAATAATGAGAACTCAGATAAACTGTATATTGCCGTAGTTGTGTGTTTATTAGTCACCTTGAATCAATGAAAGCAGTTGAATCTTCTGAGTGCCATGAAACAGCTTGAAAGATCAAAGACAATTTTTAATATAACTCCGACTGGATTAGTCTGAAAGAAGAAAGTCATATACACCTAGGATGTCTTGAGGGTGAGTAATTTATGGGCTAATTTTCATTTTTGGGTGAACTAACCCTTTAAGATAAAATGGCTACATATTTCCTAACTAAGAAATAATAAGAAACAATAGAAAGCAGTTTGCACATAATCAAAGTCTAGAATAGAAGTCTGTACTAGAAGCCAGTGCATACCAGTTTATGCTCTTTTTAAAAATTTTTTATTTATGTGATGCACCATATGATGCGGAATTGTCGCTGCACATGTCCTCTTCTCCCTTTTTGCTGTGACAGTGTGCCACAGTAATACAGATCTGTAAATCAAGTTAATGTTTAGCTGCATGCCTTGTTTCACTAGATGGCGCACTTTCCCTTTGGCAAATAGGTGTTCTTGGATATTTTTAGGTTAGAATTTACTGAGGGAAAGTGTATTAGATTCTGTGATTTTTATTTTTTTCTTAACTATTATGAGGTTATAACATTTGCTTGTATTTATATTAGAACTTTATATATTATAATTATAGCAATGCTGCTTAAAAAGATTTATATAATTGCACTCTTAGATGTCAACATTAAAAAAAAAAAATAATTCATGACCACTGCCAAGGTAAATAAGACTTTATCCATGTAAAGACATGAAAAAAACAAATGAAAACATGTTTCATTTACAGAAAATCAAAGCAGCATCAGAGCATATGTCTAAAGATGCCTTATGTGAGGCAGAGTGTTTCATTTTGTGAGTTTAGTTCTCTGATGAAGATACCTTCATACCCCTTGATTAGTTAAACACATTTGAAAATGACTTGACAGGAAAAGATTGAAAAAGTCAGTGCAATGCTAAGGTGCACATAATGCTTTGTGAATGTTTTGCCTGCTTTCAGGTAGTACTTTGATCACTGTTGGAGAGTTTCAGAGGAGGTTGGGTGGAGCAGAGCGGGAATTCCTACAGATGTCAGCTATTAACTTCCTCACACCACTGAGGAACTTTCTAGAGGGTGACTGGAAAACCATTTCTGTAAGTGAAATTCATAATCTCGGTCTCAGATGGTTCACATCCTTCTGATATGTAAGCCAACTTACAATGGCTGGCTGATAATGGCTAGTTACAAAATGATTGGCTGACAAGCTTTTATGGTATCTAAAATATACTTTAATGTAATTTCTATTGAAACTTTTATGTCGTATTTAAATATATTTGTAATTAAACATTTGTATTGAATTTACAATTTAGTACATTATAAATATATATATATATATATACTGTGTATAAATATATATATATATATATAGATATATATAGATCTATATATATTTATCTATATCTATATCTATATTATCTATATACTATATATCTATATAGCTTATTATTTCATTATTTTTTTTCTTTTTAAAAATATACTTTTAATATATGAAATACACTACAAATGCATATTCAAGTAGTCTTGAATATTTCCTTTTTTACGATAGTCTGTATGTTCTGTTTTCAGAAAGAGAGAAGGCTACTTGAGAACCGACGCCTTGACCTGGACATTTGCAAAGCTCGGCTCAAGAAGGCAAAGTTAGCAGAGGACAAGGCTGCTGTAAGTTTCATTTTCACTAATTTCATCACCATCATCACATGTCTTCCTCTTCTCACGTTCTTTCATCTCCTCCACCACCCTCTCATCACACACCGCTTATGAGCTGTTAAAGGAGGATTCGGATCTCTAGAGGGACATTTCAGGAAGTATGACCTAAAGCAAGAATATTCAATGTCTAGCCCCACAGCTTGAATCCACACCACAAGGTTATAAGTGACTCACAATCGCAATTCTGTTTCTGTGGCTTGTGGTGCACGCACAAACTGTGGGACATGGCAAAAAAAACAAACAGACAGTTAATCACAAAATTGACTGAATCCTAATAATTGGTTAAGAAATTGGAAGCATTTCTGAATGTTGCATTGGTGTGTAAATAAGACTTGCATGTTTAAATTCACCTGGAATAAATCATCCTGGACAATGAAAAGGATCTTTAAAAAAACAAACGGACAAACTCTAACTGATTTGGTGCATGAGGTGACAAAATATGAAGTTCATGTAAGATATCACTTTTATTGGTTAAAGCCAAGCAATTATCCGAAACACTTTTTTTAGGTCTTATTTGTTAACATTAGTTAATGCGTTATCCAACATGAACTAACAATGAGTAACATATTTGTACAGCATGTATTGATCTGTAATCTTAATAAAACAGCAATTGTTCATTGTTTGATCATGCTAGTGAGTAGTGGATCAATCTAATCTAATTTAATCTAATCTAATCTAATATAATATAATATAATATAATGTAATAATTCATGGTAATTGATACTGAACTAACAGCTGTTTACAAATGAATCTATTGTATAGTGTTTCCCAGTTACTGTATCATTGCCAAATCATTTTATTCACTGGCCCTTTGTCACTCCATATTTTCCAAAAGTGGCCCTGCCCCAAAAATTGATGCTCCTGATTTATTCTGTTTACATCATTGAAAAAAAGGTTGTTTTTCAGGAACTATTTGTTATGTGGAAGATATTTGTGAATCAGTTCTGAGTTCTGTCTGGGAAGCTCTGAGTCAGAAGGCATAAGTTAACATCTTTCACGAATGACTTCTTCTTTTACTTACTTGTTTGCTTCTTCATTTTATCCCTTTCAGTGACTGAATAATTTGAGGTTTACACAGAGGGCTGTGTGCGGTTTTATCATGTTTTGATATCTTCCTTTCCTGCATAGATGAGATTGTTTGCTAATACACCCATTTAGGTGTGATTTCCCTCCTGACACATATCAAGTATTGAAGGGGTAATCTAAAGTCCTCAGGGCCTATTGTTACCTCTTTGATCTCCAAGAGGAACCTGGTAGTTTATCTGTGTGTGTCTGTGTGTGTGTGTGTTCAATGGAATACAATTATGACTCAGTCATCAGGTGTGCTCTGTGATTTGTGTGATCTGTGTGGAATTTTTTCCTTTCCGTGTATTCACTAACATGTCTCTCTGTTGTCATTTGCACAGTGTGAGGGAGATGTGAGTATCCGTGTGTGTGTGTGTGATTTCTCAGCTGCCTTTCATCCTTGGCTGCTTCCTGCTAGCAGTTACATGTACAGGCTTGATAGTTGATCTACTGTATCTGCCACCTCTGCAGTGCCTTGATCAAAAAAAAAAAAACCTTTCAAAAGTCAGCCCTTTTTGAAGTCACAGTTACATTAAATGGCTGCATGTAATTTGTATTTTTTTCTCATAATGTACTGTATATTATAGAGCAGCATTTCCCAACTGGATTTCCGCAAAACCCGTGATGGTAGTGGAGGGGTTTTGCGAAATACGAATGATAGAAAAGTTAAAAAAGAGGGAAAAAAGCCTAAGCTATCTTAAGCCAAATATAAAAAAGCTTAATTGAATTGAATTATAGTGTGTATGGTTTTAGTGTGTATAATATAATGTACACACAAACACACACACACACACATATTTTGGATTGTATGCATGTGTATATTAATGACTCATTTTATGTATCTCTGTTATCTGTTATATTAGAATCTTGTCTACTTTGGTTAATTTCAACAGCATTTAATATTTACAAGAATATGGCACATGGAGACCAAAAACGTTCAAAGAAAAAACTGCTCTTGTTCTATGTCATACAGTACAATTGTACTAAGATAAAACCTTACTGTTTATTATACTCCTGCAAATCAGTGACAAATCTTACCATACTGTGATGCCGTGTCCTGGAGTGATGATACAAAACCAATAAAACCCATTACAAATGATTCATTTGTTGCATCCAGTGGGGACATAATTACTGATTATAATGACTTATACTGTCTTTTTACGCGTTGAGTTGCGTATCGCGCCGCGTAAACAAAAAACCATGTCTACATTTGTGATCGGAGAAACAAGCGCTACTCTACACTGCTCAAAACTCGCGTTTGAATCATCAGTGGCAAAT